CAGTCCCAGTCTGGTCCGGGTCTCAGTCCTGGTTTGTCCCGGTCTCAGTCCCAGTCTCAGTCCCGGTCCTGTTCCGTGTCTCAGTCCTTGTCTGGTTCCGGTGTGGTTCCGGTCTGGGCCTGGTCTCAGTCCCGGTCTCAGTCCTGGTCCTGTTCCTGGTCTCAGTCCTGGTCTAAGTCCTGGTCTCAGTCTCGGTCTCAGTCACGGTCTCAGTCAAGGTCTGGTCCTGGACCAGGACCAAACCAGGACTAAACTAGGACTAAACTAAAACTAAAGTAGGACTAAACCAGGACTAAACCAGAACTAAATCAGGTCTAAAAACAGGACTAAACCAGAACTAAACCACGTCTAAAACCAGGACTAAACCATTTTCAGTCCTGGTCTGGTCCCAGTCTCAGTACCGGTCTCAGTCCCGGTTTCAGTCCCAGTCTCAGTCCTGGTCCTGTTCCTGGTCTCAGTCCCGGTCTAAGTCCTGGTCTCAGTCCTGGTCTCAGTCCCGGTCTGGTTCTGGTCTCAGTCTCAGTCCTGGTCTCAGTCCTGGTCTCAGTCCTGGTCTAAGTCCTGGTCTCAGTCCTGGTCTAAGTCCTGGTCTCAGTCCTGGTCTCAGTCCCGGTCTGGTCCATCCATCCATTTTTTCCATTTTTCATTTCAACACAAAATCGAAAACTGAAAAAACGAATCGTTATCTGTTTTTTTTTTCATTTTGGTTTTGGACAAATAATGAAGAAAACTGTTGTTTTTTCATTTTCTTATTTTTGGTTTTATTTTGACAAACGAATGAACGAATGTCACATGGATTGCGATGTATCAGCTTTTTTGTTTACTGTAGTTCTTTAAATGTTCTTAAAGCAAAACTGGAAACAACAACTCCACACTGCCCCCACCCTGGACTCGCCTCTCCACAGATCCGACCAATAACTCGATCTGTAACTTGGTCCTTCTTGTCTTTTTAGAGATACAGAACTTTAATGTCTGTGACAGTGGAACAAAAATGACGTCCACACGTCACCGTGGAGACAGCGTGCAACAAAGCCTCAGAACTTCCACGGTGCCCCTTTAATAACGTCTGGTCGGATTAAGTCCGAGGGCATTTCCGCGTAAACGCTCGGGCGCTGTAACGGGAGACTGTGTAACTTAAACCTGAGATCAGCTCGGCGGCTCCTGCGTCACAGAAATCACCACATGAATAATTTGTGGAGGATCTCAGAAGCCGCAGGAGGATCTCAAGAGTCTGTCAGGACTTTTGATGCGGATAAAGAATGTGCAACAACGAGAAAAGAAAAGAAATGACTAATGTTCAGAAGAGTGATTTCATTTCCAAAACAGAAAATGTGACTTTACTGTTTCGTTTACAAAAGTTGATCTGAAAGTTTCCCCTCCAAGAACCAACAACATAAAGATTTGACTTTGAAAGATTTTGAAAGTTGTTTTGAAAGATACAGAGCTCCGGAATGAATGAATTTTGCAGTACAGTGTCCCTCGTTTATTGGGGGGGTTATGTTCTAAAAATAACCCGCGATAGGTGAAATCCGCAAAGTATCAACTTTATATTTTACAATTATTCTATCTGTTTTAAGTCTGTAAAACCCCTCACACAAACTTTATACACTTTTCTCACACAGGACACTTACAGTTCATTTTTACATCCTTCTGAAAACTTATTGCTGTTGTTGTTCTTTTGTTATTTTCCTCCTTTTTTATGTAACGAACCAAAGATTCATTTATTCCGTAATGGAGCCGACAGTGCAGAAGCCTTCACTCTCGCAGTACAGGACCGCACCCGCCCGCACCCGCCCGCACCCGCCCGCACCCGCCCGCACCCGCCCGCACCCGCCCGCACCTGCCCTTTAACCTGAGATTATATCAAACTTTTGGGCTGCACACGCCACAGACTGATCCAAGACTAACCCAGGACTTACCCAGGACTGATTCCAGGACTGAAGAGGAGGACTAAACCAGGACTAAACCAGAACTAAACCAGGACTAAACCAGGACTCATTGTCTGGACGGCCTTGGAGGTGACCGCAGGAGAAAGGACCCGTGCAGAGCTCCACACCTCACGGAGGTAAACGCGGCAATTGCCCGATCACGTTTTGCAGACAAACTGCTCGGCGTTTTCTCTCTTAAATCCAACATTAGTCCTGGTTTAGACCTGGTTTAGTCCTGACTCACCTGTGTGTAATTACTACCTGCCCGTAATACATAATACGCATTCATACCCTGTAAAAAAACATGCAAATTTGCACAAAAAAAATCTGCGTAACAGCAAAACCGCGAAAGGTGAACAGCAATTGTAAATTTTGTTTGTTTTAATTTATATTTTGTCTCTTATATTTACAGTAAGTCTCAAACTTATTGTTCATACGCTGCTTTTCTTTCTTGGAATTCTGTCATTGTTTAACAGGGTTTGATGTTTTAAGTACTTTTTAATTCAGCCTAAACCCTTTTGGTAATGATGATTCATGAGGTCGTAGTCTAAGTTTTGTTTTGTTTTGTTTTGTTTTGTTTTGTTTTGTAGTTCCGCAAAATGTCCCAATAAACTACTACTACTATTCCAGGTCTAAAGCAGGTCTAAAATGGAAATACGTCAATGCTACTGTTGTTTTCACCACGATATGACCCAAAAAGTGGATCAAATTGACTTTTAAAGGTTTCATATTAGTCTGTTTTCTGTAGTTATTCACATTCACGCATGTTTAACACACAAACCCTGCAGATTTAGACTGAGTTCTTCTCTCAGACAGAAAGAAAAACTCTCATTTGGATGATTTCAGACCAGGAACTGCCCGATCTCTACTGAACTAAACGGAGCTGTTCACATGGAAACTACCATTACATGACATCACAAGGTGGAACAGAGCATTTCGAGCTTTGGAGATGTAGACAGACGAATAATAAAGAGTCACTCAAACATGTGTGAATGAAACAAAACACAAGTCCAGGTCTGTTTTTGAGGAGGGAACAGCTTCACAAGTGGAAGTCCCACAGTTTGAGAAACATATTTATCATATTTACAGATTTATAACATGAAGGAAAACAAGTCTGAGTTATTTACATTATACTGAACTCTAAAGAAAAAATCACACAACACATACAGCACAAATCTGTGTGTCATTCCTTCATTTGTTTTTCAATATAAAAACAAAAATAAGAAAACGAAGAAACAACTATTTTCTTCATAATTTTTCTCTAAAACCAAAATGAAAAAAACAGATAATGATTTGTTTTTTCAGTTTTTGATTTTGTGTTTAAATGAAAAATGGAAAAAAAAAAAAAAGATAACGGCCTGAACCAGTACTGAACCAGGTCTAAAACAGGACTAAAGGACTAAACCAGGACTAAACCAAGTCTAAACCAGGTCTAAACCAGGACTAAACCAGGACTAAACCAGGACTAAACCAAGTCTAAACCAGGACTAAACCAGGACTAAACCAAGTCTAAACCAGGTCTAAACCAGGACTAAACCAGGACTAAACCAGGACTAAACCAAGTCTAAACCAGGTCTAAACCAGGACTAAACCAGGACTAAACCAGGTCTAAACCAGGACTAAACCAGGAATAAACCAGGTCTAAACCAGGACTAAACCAGGACTAAACCAGGAATAAACCAGGTCTAAACCAGGACTAAACCAGGTCTAAACCAGGACTAAACCAGGACTAAACCAGGTCTAAACCAGGTCTAAACCAGGACTAAACCAGGCCTGAACCAGTACTGAACCAGGTCTAAACCAGGACTAAACCAAGTCTAAACCAGGTCTAAACCAGGACTAAACCAGAACTAAACCAGGTCTAAACCAGGACTAAACCAGGACTAAACCAGGTCTAAACCAGGACTAAACCAGGACTAAACCAGGTCTAAACCAGTCTAAACCAGACTAAACCAGGATTAAACCAGGTCTAAACCAGGTCTAAACCAGGACTAAACCAGGACTAAACCAGGTCTAAACCAAGACTAAACCAGGACTAAACCAGGACTAAACCAGGTCTAAACCAGGACTAAACCAGGACTAAACCAGGTCTAAACCAGGACTAAACCAGGACTAAACCAGGACTAAAACCAGGTCTAAACCAGGACTAAACCAGGACTAAACCAGGACTAAACCAGGTCTAAACCAGGACTAAACCAGGTCTAAACCAGGACTAAACCAGGTCTAAACCAGGACTAAACCAGGACTAAACCAGGTCTAAACCAGGTCTAAACCAGGACTAAACCAGGACTAAACCAGGTCTAAACCAGGTCTAAACCAGGACTAAACCAGGACTAAACCAGGTCTAAACCAGGTCTAAACCAGGACTAAACCAGAACTAAACCAGGTCTAAACCAGGTCTAAACCAGGACTAAACCAGGACTAAACCAGGTCTAAACCAGGTCTAAACCAGGACTAAACCAGGTCTAAACCAGGACTAAACCAGGTCTAAACCAGGACTAAACCAGGTCTAAACCGGGACTTAACCAGGACTAAACCAGGACTAAACCAATACTGAGTGTGGGGACAGGCCTGGAGGTGTCGGGTGATCAGGACTGAGACCAGTACCAGACCAGGACTCAGACCAGGACCAGACTGGGACCAGACTAGGACTGAGACCGGTTTAATCCTGTTTTAGTCCAGGAATCAGTCCTGGTTCAGTTCGGCATCGCAGTTTAAGTCACGAAAACGGGAAACGGTCTGATTTTTTCCATTTTTCATTTAAACACAAAATCAAAAACTGAAAAAACAAATCATTTTCTTTTTTTTTCCATTTTGGTTTTAGAGACAAATAATGAAGAAAATAGTTGTTTTTTTGTTTTCTTATTTTTGGTTTTATATTGAAAAACGAGCGAACGAATGACACACGGATTAGTAGAGCACGTGGACGCACACACAGGTTCATACACACAATCACAATGTCCATAAATGTCCATGTTTGCTTGTTTCACATTATTTACAAATTCTAGATTAGCTCGAGATGAACTGGGAAAGATTTGGAAAATAAAATGTTTTTAATCTGGTAAAACGTACCGCTCTTTCGGATGCGTTCCTCCAGAACCTCTGTGTGTCCAGACGGTGTTTTCCGGTTGAAGACCTGAGCCGAGCGCAGAAACATGGCCTCCACAGCCGAGCCCTTCAGCAGAGCGATCTGGTCCTCATGGTCCAGAGAGAGAAACCCTGAGGAACCCAAAGAGTCACGTTTGAATGAGTCAGAACAGAGTGAGCAGAGTTTCACCTCAGTTTACACCAGTGTTTCACAAATGTTTTTTCTGGGGACCCATATTTTAAAAGTCACAAACCTTCACAACGCAAGTCAAAAGAAATTATTCATAAATCACAAAATAAAGTTGAATTATTGAACATTAAAGGTTGTATGGAGGATTTTTTTTGTTTTTTTTTTGTTTCAAATTGTCAATGATAGATTATAGATGCAGGAGCCTTGTAATTATGATGACCAAAAAAAAGAGAATAAAAATTCATCAACTCTGGACGTGGTGGGGCTAAACATTTGCCAATAGATAACGACACTGCCTCGTTATCTGTGAGCTGACAGGCTGTCAATCAAACTCCCTACGTTTCTAGTGTAACTGACTTGCCTGCGCTGCCGGTACGTGGTTTATGTACGACTGTCACACAGTCCACAGACGCAAGACGCACAGACGCTGTTTACTCCACCAACGCAACAGTTCTTAGCGGCTTTTTTTGACCTATATCTTCCTCGCAGTTCACACAAAGTTTGTTGCGATGGCGACAAGAATCCAGGAGCAGTTCACCGCAAAAGAAAGTCAGTTTTTGAGGTCGCTGAAAGAAGAAGACAAGGTGAAAAGCAGCGAAACCAAACTAAGGTGATTCTTGAAGATTCATTCCAGCGATGGCGCGACTGAAGCAGACGCAGGGTCTAAAGACTGAAGCACTGGTCCACAAATTACTCCTGGACAGGAAACTTCTGCTTATTATGAAAACGTACTTTATTTCCAAGAGCTACACAAACGTTTTTCAGGACACGAATGCGATATCCTATGTCTGAAAACTTAATTTTCAAGGCAAAGAAAGAGTCCACTTGCTGCTGCGTGTTGTAGTTAGTTCATTCGCACTGAATCTCCGCGCAACCTTCTCTGCACCCCTTTCCTGCTCCTCTCCCCGCTGCCCGATCCGCTCTTCTCCCCGCTCCTCACTTCTCCGTCTTGCCTAACCAACACTGTAGTTAGTTGTTTACAAGTCATGTGCAGTTCACCGGCTGTAAACAAACCTGTTTCTGGCGTAAGGAGGAGGCGGAAGGAGGCGTTTCTACGTAGGAGCTGTAGGGGACGGGAGGTGGTTTCACACATGCGGAACATTTGAAAAAGGACAAACAGTCGCTGGATTTCTCGTTCCTTGGAAAATCCTCTATACAACCTTTAATGAGGATATTTTTCGTTGACTGAGTGATCGTGTCTCTGAACAATTAATATTACTCAAATTTTAAACAATGAAAAACAAACATTGAAGCAGCAATAAAAGGATCCAGAAGTCGTCTGTTTGGACTTTAAATGTAGAACATTTCTTTTTCTTTTCAACATTTAACTGAACCAGCAACACTGGAACAAAACAGTCACTAAAATAATTACAAAAAGATTAAAAATGATGTCTGATGTCTTAACATTTGAACATTTCTAATGACATAGATGGACCTGTCTGTGTTTTTGTAGCTCATTTCAGTTCAGGTGCAGGAAGAGACGCAGCAGCAGATCAGAACTTTACATCACAGACCCACATGCAGATCGTGACAAGGTGATCCCCAAAAAAATCACTTGTCTCAGTCTTTGGGAACCAATGGTTTAGACTAAGACTATGATGGCAAAAGATATTCATTCATATTTGAATAATTTTACTTAATACAATATTTTGGTGTATAAAATGTCTCTTATTCTTAAACAAAAACACAATGATGACAGAGTGAAATTTGTTATTTTATGATAACTCTACTAGCACAAAGTATCATTTGTTTCACCACTTTCTTTGCTCGGCTTGTTTTTAGACTCTAGTGGTGTAAAAGAAAAAGAACTTCGCACATTGTTTTCTTGAAACATTTGCTCTGGAGGAGAGGGAGGAGCCCAAAAACATGAACAAAGGAGAATCCTGCACCGTGTTACTTGCAAATTGTGAATTTTATTAGGACATCAATGAGGTTTCGGCACCAGGCCTGAAAAAGGCACTAGGTAAAGTTTTTATTTATTTTTTTATATATATATTTTTTTTTTATGGGGGTGAATATTAGACTATGATCTCCTCTGTTAACAGGAAACACTGATGTAAATAAAGAGATGGACGATACAGTGATTAAAATACAATCATATCTCAGCCCTGGGACCATCTACTGTTATTAATACTATTATTAAAGCAGAGAAGAAAGAACCTTAGAACCAGCAGATCTTTTTATTTGCCTCCTAAAGCCACCATCTGTAATTAGAAATTAATTGTGTAATTCTGTGTTTTTAGTATTTCACGGTGCACTTTGAGCTTTTTCCTTGGTGTTTTTTAACAACAAATGGCAAATAAACTAACCTAACCGAGATTAAACTAACCAAAGCTAAACTATGATCCTTTGTGAGGATGAAGAGGAAATACCTGGGATGTTTTTTGTAAACTCCACGAGGACTTGGACCTGACTCGTGGCCATCTCTGTCAGGAGCAGGAAGTTCTCCTCGGGGCTGTACTGGTCATGGAGCTGGAACCAGAGCAAAGGAATCACAAATAAACATGCTGAGACTTTACAGATCAGCTCTTCAACATTCTGTCAATAAAGTTTGTTTAAGTTTGTCTTTGAAATAGAAATTAGACGGATGAAAATCTAAAATGTTGTTACCAGTTTCTTGGCGACGTCCTGTGGGATCTGGTGTCGTTGATACGCCTTTAAAATGACCTGAAGCAGAGCGTGTTGTTCTTTGGTGATCTCCACTTTGTCCTGGATAAAAGACAAGAAAAAGGTAAGTTGTAGGGAGTATTATCTGTTACATAAGGCTGAGTTACTGTACAGTCGTAGGGAGTATTATCTGTTACAGGGGTGAGTTGTTGTACAGTTGTAGGGAGTATTATTTGAGTTGTTGTACAGTTGTAGGGAGTATTATCTGTTACATAAGGCTGAGTTACTGTACAGTCGTAGGGAGTATTATCTGTTACAGGGGTGAGTTGTTGTACAGTTGTAGGGAGTATTATTTGAGTTGTTGTACAGTTGTAGGGAGTATTATTTGAGTTGTTGTACAGTTGTAGGGAGTATTACCTGTTACATTTGTAGGGAGTATTATCGGCTAAATAACAGTGAGTTGTTGTACATTTGTAGGGAGTATTATTTGAGTTGTTGTACAGTTGTAGGGAGTATTATCTGAGTTGTTGTACAGTTGTAGGGAGTATTATCTGTTACATAAGGGTGAGTTACTGTACAGTCGTAGGGAGTATTATCTGTTACAGGGGTGAGTTGTTGTACAGTTGTAGGGAGTATTATCTGAGTTGTACAGTTGTAGGGAGTATTACCTGTTACATTTGTAGGGAGTATTACCTGTTACATTTGTAGGGAGTATTATCGGCTAAATAACAGTGAGTTGTTGTACATTTGTAGGGAGTATTATCTGAGTTGTACAGTTGTAGGGAGTATTATCTGAGTTGTACAGTTGTAGGGAGTATTATCTGTTACATAAGGGTGAGCTGTTTTACAGTTTTAGGGTGTATTATCTGAGTTGTACATTGTAGGGATTATTATCTTAGTTGTACAATTGTAGGGAGTATTATCTGATTTGTTGTACAGTTTTAGGGTGTATTATCTGAGTTGTACCATTGTAGGGAGTATTATCTGCTAAATAAAGGTGAGTTGTTGTACAGTTGTAGGGAGTATTATCTGAGTTGCACAGTTGTAGGGATTATTATCTGTTACATAAGGGTGAGTTGTTGTACAGTTGTAGGGAGTATTATCTGCTAAATAAAGGAGTTGTACACTTGTAGGGAGTATTATCTGTTACATAAGGGTGAGTTGCTGTACAGCTGTAGGGAGTATTATCTGAGTTGCACAGTTGTAGGGAGTATTATCTGCTAAATAAAGGTGAGTTATACATTTGTAGGGAGTATTGTCTGAGTTGTCTAGTTGTAGGGAGTATTATCTGAGTTGTACAGTTGTAGGGAGTATTATCTGTTACATAAATGCTGAATTACAGAAATGCTCATGAAAAACGTTCAGAATTAAAGGTGCAGTGTGTAACTTTTCTAGCAGAGGATTCCATGTAGATGTCAATGTTTTTCCCTGGAATGGCATTTAATTGAACGATCTCCATGGAGACAAGCCACGACCAAGGCCACGTCACAAGGCCAGGTTACAGGTCAGATCTGTGGAGACGTGGACCCGTTCCCTGTAATAATGCTGTTTTGTTTTTTTACTGTAGTTTTGAGAAATAAAACCACCTGTGATTGAATAAATACAGGTTATATTTGTTTTAATGCCGTACTGTGGAACATCCCAGGCACCCTCCGCAGAAAAGTTACACGGTGCAGCTTTAAACGCAGTGTTGGGAGTAATGTATTATAAAAGTAATGTATTACAGTAATGCGTTGATTTTTGCTGTAACGCAGTAATGTTGGGCATTACAGGGGAACAAATTGTAATATTTTACTCGGTACAAATGTGAGTAACGAGCGTTACAATTTTTTTTAACCTGGATTGAAGTGGTGGGTTTTTCTTCATAGAAATTCGCTAAAATCACCGTGAAATCAGCAGCGGTGAAACGCCAGAGACGCGGCCGGATAAACCTTCAGTTAACCGCGGGCGAAAGGACCAACCCAGAACTCTACGCTGTTTAGACCTGGTTTAGACCTGGGTCACTTCTGGTTTAGACCTGGTTTACAGTCGTCCCTCACTCTAACGCGATTCACTTTTCGCGGTCTCGCTGTTTCGCTGATTTTTAGAATTTATTTTTTTTGTGCAATTTTGCATGCCTTTTGTTTTTAGTGTATGAACACGTATGGCGTTCCTCCCGCTGTGTCCTGATTGGCTAAGGGACTCCTGTCTCCTGTACAGTACAGAATGTGTTCAGCTGCCAAATTTAAATAAATGTTCAATCTGTATCAGTGTGATTCTGAAGTGCTGTATGTCTGCAAGTTTTCTCTCCGACAAAATCCACAACGTCGACGAAATGTTCTGCACCGACAAAGTCTCCTGCACTCGCACCCAAAAGACAGAGGACGATGCAAACCATCACACAAAAAGTTGGACTTCTGGACACGTTGAAGGAAGGTAGAAGTTACGCGCTGTAACAGACTCTTGCACCGAGTCTGCAAATAGTTGCTGAAATTAGGACCGCGAGCCCGAGCAGCAGGGTCCATAAAGAGCGATCGGGCGACAGACGCTCTTACCTCCATGAGGTGTGGAGCAGAGCCGCTCCTTTCTCCTGCGTCACCTTCGAGCCCCGTCCTGACAGTGAGTCCTGTTTTAGTCCTAGTTCAGTTCTGGTTTAGTCCTCCTCTTCAGTCCTGGAATCAGTCTGAGGTTAGTCCTGTTATAGTCCTGGTTTAGTCCTGGTTCAGCTCTGGTTTAGTCCTGGTTTAGACCTTGTTTAGTCCTGGTTCAGTCCATATACGGCTCAAAAGTTCAGCTTTTCGCAGTTATTTTGGTGAGAGTAACTTAAAGTAATGCAATAGTAATGTAACGCCTCACATTTTAAATGCATTAATATTGTAATGTAACAATTACTTTGAAATGACAGTAATAAGTCATAAATAACGCATTACAGTTTTAAAGTAACTTGCCCAACAGTGTTTAAACGTGGTATTTCGCGGAGGTTTGAGCGCGTGCAGACCTTGAGAGGTTTGGTGGTGGAGGTGACCTGTTTGCTGTCTGTTTGCTCGCCCTCCGCCTCTTCTCCCATCGATCCGGACCCCGGCGAGGACTTTGTGTTTTTCCGTAACCTTTTGGATTTACACTGGATTTCTGTGAGGAGGCCTGAGGAAGAGAAGCGGGAAAGTTACGGGGGAAGTAACAGAGCTGCTGCACATTCTCCAACAAAATGCGTCTACAGTATGTACCGCCACATGACATCACAAGGTGGAACAGAGCGTTTGAGAGAAGAACTCAGCCGGGTTTGTGTGGGAATAAAACAAAAACACAAGTCCAGGTCTGTTTGTGATGAAGAAACGACATTAGAACAGTGATCAGAAAATAACATAATATGTATGTACGGAAACCCTGAGCGGCAAGCAAAAAAAAATAAAAAAATAAATAAAAAAAAGGCATTTGGGCTCCATTTTATTTATTTATTTATTTGTTTATTTATTTATTTTTACCAACAGTTCAGAAAAAAGAGGCACATCATTTGGGCTCTATTTTATAAGTAGATTTTTTTTTTTTACTTTTTTAAACCAACAACTCAGAAAAAAAAGAGGCACGTCATTTGGGATCCATTTTATTTATTTATTTATTTATTTACTTATTTATTTTTACCAACTGCTTAGAAAAAAGAAGCACATCATTTGGGCTCTATTTTCTAAGTTTTTTTTTTTTTTTTTTTTTCTTCCACGAACAGCTCAAAAAAAAAAAAGAAAAGTACATCATTTGAGCTCTATTTTATCAGTTTTTTTTTTTTTTTTTTTTTTTTTTTTTTTACCAACAGCTCAGAATAAAAGAGGACACATCATTTAGGATCCATTTTCTAAGTTTTTTTTTTCACCAACAGCTCAGTTATTTTTTTTAACAGTTGATGTGGCTGATGGACAAAAAAATTAAAAATAAAAATAAAATCCCCCCCTAAAATCAAAGACTCCAGAGAAGACCTGGGCACAGTTCAGCCACATACTGTCCTTTAGTCAACTTTGACCAGCCCCTTTAAGATAATTTGGAATTACAAAATAAACATATTTTATAATTTTACCTCATGCATGGACTAAAGCTGCATTGCTTTTATTTAGAGGTGTTTTTTTTTTTTTTATATAATTTTTTTTTAAAACAACCTCATTTTTTCATTGCTTAGTCTCGACATAAACTCTCCCCAGTCTGAGCAGCTCATCAAAACAATATTTACTGCTTTTTATAAAGAAATACAATTAATATTATGCAGATTTGAGTTCAGCATTTTGGCCTCCACAGTATTTTGTGTTTCTCATGTGGCACCATGGAAAAAAACAATTGCCCACCTCTGGTCTGGAGCCGAAGTGTTTTTCCAGTGTGTTAGTTTAAATGCCAAAGTTCAGCACAAGTAAATATGTGGAGGGAGAGTTTATTAGGTAAAAGCATCGGGTTAAAATGTGGGAGGCTGGGATTTGAGACTCATCTTCTCCAGTTGTAAATGAATTCACTTTAGCTAAAAAAGAATCAGTTTTTTCATGAGTTTTAGTTTTAGTTTTCTCTCTATGAGTTACATGAGAAGACGCGTCACTGATCCCAATACAGGCATAAGACGCAGCTGATTATACTTTGTTGAGGCAAGGTTTTTTTTCTCTTTCTTTTTTTTTTCTTGGGAGATGTTGATGGGAAAAAAGAAAAACACTTAGAAGTTTTTTTTTTTTTTTTTTTTTGCTTGCTGCTCAGGGCTTCCGTATCTTTAAGTATCAGAAAATGTGACTTTCACCTTTAGTTTACAAAAGTGTTTCTTTAAGTTTTACATAAAGATTCGGCCGTCCGAGTTCCGCCAGATCTAAACCAGGACTATTTCAGAACTATTCCAGGTCTAAAGCAGGTCTAAATTTGGAATACGTCATTGCTACTGTAGTTCTCACCACGATACGACCCAAAAAGTGGATCAAATTTACTTTTAAAGGGTCCATACTTTCTATTTTCTGGAGTTGTTCACATTCACACATGTTTAATTCTTCTCTCAAACTGAAAACACTCTGTTCCACCTTGTGATGTCATGTACTAATTTTTAAACCCCACACATCTTTTCTAGAAACATTTGGACGATTTCAGACCTGGAGTTGCCGAGCTCTATGGACCTAAAGGTAAAAAAAAAAAAAAAAAAAAAAAAAAAAAGGAGCGTTTCACTTGAAAACTACCACTTCATGACATCACAAGGTGGAGCAGAGCATTCTGAGCTTTGGAGATGGAGTAATAACTAATAACTTTTTTTTTTTTTTTTTTTTTTGCTTGCTGCTCAGGGGTTCCGTACATTTAAGTATCTGGCAGTTATTCATTTTTCTTCAAACTTTAGGTAAAATTATTTAGAATTAATTAATAAAATTTTAAGGTTATATTTCAAAGTACAGATGTCCAGACTTTTTTTTTTTTTTTTTTTTCCAGACACACTTCCTCCAGCTCTTCCATGGGGACCCCGGAGCGTTCCCATGTCCTGGGTCTTTCCCCGGGGTCTGGCTGGGGGCAGTGGCTCTACTCCGAGCTCCTCACCCTATCGCTTTGGGAGTTTTATTTTCCTTTTTTTTTTTTTGTGACTAAGGACTTTTCTGATTTAATGATTCATGAGCTGCTGTGTGTAATTCCTCCGTCGTCCTGTAGGGGGAGACACGTGAGACACGAGGTGGAATTACCTCGTCTAAAAATAATCCTGTCTTGCTTCTTGGTCCAAGGGTTTAAATAAATAATAACACTGTAATTTTAACTCTAGGAGGAGCCACGGGAGTCAGAAAAGAGGAGTCAGAAGAGTCAGAGGACACAGAGAAGGAGCCAAAGGAGACAGAGGGGGAGCCAGAGGAGCCAGAAGAGAGAAACCAGAGGAGGAGCTAGAGGGGGAGCCTGAGAAGAGGAGCCAGAGGAGTCAGAGGGGGAGTCAGAGGAGGAGGCAGAGAAGGCAAAGGAGTCAGAAGAGCCAGAAGAGGAATCAAAGGAGTCAGAAGAGAGGAGCCAAAAGAGAGAAGACAGAGGAGTCAGAGGTGGAGCCAGAGGAGCCAAAGGAGGAGCTAGAGGAGGAGCCAGTAGAGTCAGAGGAGGAGTCAGAGGAGCCAGAGGAGGAGTCAGAGGAGCCAGAGGAGGACCTAGAGGAGTCAGAAGAGCCAGAAGAAGAGTCAGAAGAGGGGAGTTGGAGGAGCCAGAGGAGTGAGAGGAGGAGTCAGAGGAGCCAAAGGAGAGAAGCCAGAGGAGGAGTCAGAATAGTTAGAGGAGGAGTCAGAAGAGTCAAAGGAGTCAGAGGAGAGGAGTCAGAGGAGCCAGAAAAATCAGAAGAGGAGCTAGAGGAGGAGCCAGAGAACAGGAGTCAGAAAGGAGGAGGAGCCAGAGAAGAGGAGCCAAAAGAGTCAGAGGGTCAGAGGAGCCAGAGGAGTCAGAGGAGGAGTTAGAGGAGGAGTCAGAGGATCCAGAAAGGTCAGAGGAGGAGCCAGAGGAGAGGAGTCAGAAGAGTCAGAGGAGTCAGAGGAGCCAGAGGAGTCAGAGGAGGAGTTAGAGGAGGAGTCAGAGGAGGAGTTAGAGGAGGAGTTAGAGGAGGAGTCAGAGGAGGAGTTAGAGGAGGAGTTAGAGGAGGAGTCAGAGGAGGAGAGGAGGAGTCAGAGGAGGAGTTAGAGGAGGAGTCAGAGGAGGAGTCAGAGGATCCAGAAAGGTCAGAGGAGGAGCCAGAGGAGAGGAGTAAGAGAGGAGGAGCTAAAGGGGGAGCCAGAGAAGAGGAGTCAGAAGAGTCAGAGGAGTCAGAGGAGCCAGAGGAGTCAGAGGAGGAGCCAGAGGAGCCCGTACTCACACTCTGCCAGCATGCCCATCTCTTTGCACTTCCGCAGGCGACACTCTTGGCACTTCCGTCTCATGTACATGTCCATCTCACAGTTCCCTCCACTTTTACATTTGTACACGGCGTTTTTTGTGATGCTCCGGCGAAAGAATCCTGCACAAAAACAAACACAAACACACACACAAACACAGAGCTCAGAGTCGTGACAGAATCTACGGATAAAGTAAAACATCATATTAAACAAGTCAAGTCTTATTCTGCGTTTTATTTATTGCAGCTCATGATTTTAAAGACGCACGATGTAACAACACAATGACGTGGAGATGAAGAAAACCGGGACTTTTTCTCATTTTTTTCCCTAGATTTTGTCAGATTTACTACAGCGAACAGAGCCCAGAGGAAGTTTCGTCGCGTGTTTCCAAACGTCTTCCTGGTTTGTGACCCTCAAATAGTCGCTGAAACGGGCGGGTTTTAACGTTCTGGAATTTTACGGGCGGTTTATTGTCTGAGTGATGATTTTAAAAAGTCTAACACTGTAAAAGCCTTTAAAAAAAAATAATAAAGTGTTATGTTTTGAAAAATACAGAGCTCTGGAATGAATGAATTATGCATTAAATTGAGTTTGTTTTAATTTATAAGTATTTTAGAAAGTCGTAAGTGAAATTGTAAACACAAATTTGCTGCTTTTCTTTCTTGGAATTCTGTCGTTGTTTAAAGGTTGTATGGAGGATTTTTTTTTTGTTTTTTTTGTTTCAAGTTGTCAATGATAGCATTATAGAGGTGCAGTAGCCTTGTAATTATGATGACCAAAAAAAAGAGAATAAAAATTCATCAACTCTGGACGTGGTGGGGCTAAACATTTGCCAATAGATAACGACACTGCCTCGTTATCTGTTAGCTGACAGGCTGTCAATCAAACTCCCTACGTTTCTAGCGTAACTGACTTGCCTGCGCCGCCGGTACGTGGTTTACGTACGACTGTCACGCAGTCCACAGACGCAAGATGCACAGACGCTGTTTACTCCACCAACGCAACAGTTCTTAGCGGCTTTTTTTGACCTATATCTTCCTCGCAGTTCGCACAAAGTTTGTTGCAATGGCGACAAGAATCCAGGAGCAGTTCGCCGCAAAAGAAAGTCTGTTTTTGAGGTCGCTGAAAGAAGAAGACAAGGGGAAAAGCAGCGAAGCCAAACTAAGGTGATTCTTGTAGATTCATTCCAGCGATGGCGCGACTGAAGCAGACGCAGGGTCTAAAGACTGACGCACTGGTCGCCAAATTACTCCTGGACAGGAAACTTCTGCTTATTATGAAAACGTACTTTATTTCCAAGAGCTAGTCAAACGTTTTTCAGGACACGAAAGCGATATCCTATGTCTGAAAAACGTAATTTTCAAGGCAAAGAAAGAGTCCGCTTGCTGCTGCGTGTTGTAGTTAGTTCATTCGCACTGAATCTCCGCGCAACCTTCTCTGCTCCCCTTCCTGCTCCTGTCCCCGCTGCCCGACCGCTCTTCTCCCTGCTCCTCACTTCTCGTCCGCGAACGAAATGTCCGCACACCCGCTCCCCCCGCTCCTCACTTCTCCGTCTTGCCTAACCAACACTGTAGTTAGTTGTTTACAAGTCATGTGCAGCACCGGCTGTAAACAAACCTGTTTGTGGCGTAAGGAGGAGGAGGGAGGAGGTGTTTCTACGTAGGAGCTGTAGGGGAGGGGAGGTGGTTTCACGCATGCGCAACATTTGAAAAAGGACAAACAGTCGCTGGATTTCTCGTTCCTTGGAAAATCCTCTATACAACCTTTAATAGACATTAGAAGTATTTTTTAGTTCAGTGTAAACGCTTTTGCTCATGATCCACGGGGCTGTAGTTTATGTTTAGTTTTGTTTTGTTGTGCAGCAAAATGACCGAATAAAACTACTCCTATTATGGGATATTTCACAAAAGTCATCATGTTTGTCCAGACCAAACACCTCGACTTTATTCTTAAAAAAACGTGCACTTTTGTATCATGACATTCAGAGTAACACTGTGTAATATTTTGGATGTTTCACAGAACAGAACATTAAAGCCATACTTCAGAACATTCTCCATAGACACAGTTACGTCTTATGCCAAACGAGCAACATTTCCATGGAGAGATGCAGAGTCAGGTTTGTGGAGATGCGAGCCCACTCTGACACAGGACACATTGTTTTCCAACAAAAATATACAAAAAAAATGGATAAAAAAATGACATGGAGGTAGAGATGTAACAATTACCAAAATATTGTGATATCGTCTCGTCAAAGTTCTCACAATAATATCCTGGACCATCACAATATATCGAATTATATTGAAAAGTTGCTAAACAGGTCTGAAATAGGGTCTAAACAAGGACTAAACCAGGTCTAAACAAGGACTAAACCAGGTCTAAACCAGGTCTAAACCAGGGTCTAAACCAGGTCTAAACAAGGACTAAACCAGGTCTAAACAAGGACTAAACAAGGACTAAACCAGGTCTAAACCAGGTCTAAACCAGGTCTGAAATAGGTCTAAACAAGGACTAAACCAGGTCTAAACAAGGACTAAACCAGGTCTAAACCAGGTCTAAACCAGGTCTAAACCAGGTCTAAACAAGGACTAAACCAGGTCTAAACAAGGACTAAACCAGGTCTAAACCAGGTCTAAAACAGGACTAAACAGGTCTAAAAAGGGTCTAAACAAGGACTAAACCAGGTCTAAACAAGGACTAAACCAGGTCTAAACCAGGTCTAAACAAGGACTAAACCAGGTCTAAACCAGGTCTAAACAAGGACTAAACCAGGTCTAAACAAGGACTAAACCAGGTCTAAACCAGGTCTAAACCAGGTCTAAAACAGGGTCTAAACCAGAACCAAACCAGGACTAAACCAGGTCTAAACAAGGACTAAACCAGGTCTAAACCAGGTCTAAACCAGGTCTAAACAAGGACTAAACCAGGTCTAAACAAGGACTAAACCAGGTCTAAACCAGGTCTAAACCAGGTCTAAAACAGGGTCTAAACCAGAACCAAACCAGGACTAAACCAGGTCTAAAACAGGGTCTAAACTGGGACTAAACCAGGTATAAAACAGGTCTAAAAACAGGTCTAAAACCAGGACTAAAACTGGACTAAAACAGGGTCTAAACCAGGTCTAAACCAGGTCTAAAACGGGACTAAAAACAGGTCTAAAACAGGACTAAAACCAGGACTAAAACCAGGACTAAAACAGGTCTAAAACCAGGACTAAAACCAGGACTAAAACCAGGACTAAAACCAGGACTAAAACAGGACTAAAACCAGGACTAAAACAGATCTAAAACCAGGACTAAACTAGGTCTAAACCAGGTCTAAAAACAGGTCTAAAACAGGTCTAAAACCAGGACTAAAACCAGGACTAAACTAGGTCTAAACCAGGTCTAAAAACAGGTCTAAAACAGGTCTAAAACAGGACTAAAACCAGGACTAAAACAGGACTAAAACAGATCTAAAACCAGGACTAAAACCAGGACTAAACTAGGTCTAAACCAGGTCTAAAAACAGGTCTAAAAACAGGTCTAAACCAGGTCTAAAAGCAGGACTAAAAAGGTTCTAAAACAGGGTCTAAAACAATTGAGGCTTTAAGCTTTAATCCATGTTATAATGTTGTTCCCTCCTCAAAAACAGACCTGGAGTTGCGTTTTGTTGGCAATTCCAGGGCTGAAAAAATCCAAATGATTCTAGTGAAGATGTATTTTAGAAGTATTTTCAGTTTGAGAGAAAAACTCAAACTCAAATGTGCAGAGTTTGTGTGTTAAACGTGTGTGAACGAAACAAAAAAACCACAACTCCAGGTCTGTTTGTGACGAGAACAGTGTAATGTCGTATATAGACCCTTTAAATTGCACACGGCCGGTTGTATGGAACAGTTAATAGTCGTACATAGAACATTAGTGCGGCCGGGTTCATGTTGCGCTCGTATTGTGGGACAGAAAGTTGAGAGGAAACCTGAGCTCGAGTCAAACAGCAGCAGAGTTCAGCCGGACCCGGGCACGTCTCTCTCTCTCTGCACCTTTGTCTCAGGCCAGAGTGGAATTACACACACTCCACACACACTCCACACACACTCACACTGTGCTCAGCCACCGGGAAAAGATCTCATTGCAAAATTTCTGACGAGCTCTGTGGTTAAATTTAAGTTTTAATAATAGAAAGGTCAGGACGGTGTGTTTTTTTTTAGACAAAACCGAGATCCGATATTTGTTCTACTTCTGTGGCCAAGAACGGAAAATTTCACACAGAAAGGCCCACAAATTTGTCTAAAGGTGCATTGTGTAACTTTTCTGGTCGATCACGTGCTTGTTTCCATGGAGATGTCATTGCTCTGCCTGGAATGTTCCACAGCGTGACATTAATAAACACAGTTCTACTTTAAATTTATTCAGTTACAGGTGGTTTTAGAGCTCAAAAATACCTTGAAAAACAGACATTGTGACTGGGAGCGGGGTCGCCTCTCCACAGATCTGACCCCTAACTCGGTCTGGTTTGGTTTCCATGAAGACAGAAAGGTTTAAAGCCATAGTGTGAAACATTCCAGACAAAGCAATAACATCTCCACGGAGAAAAGCGAGGAAAGGAAAGAAAGAAAAAAGAAAAGCGAAAAAACCTGTCACCATAAAAGTTACACAATAGGGAGCGTGATTTGCCAAACTTTTTGAAAAATGTTTGAAAATCAATCCTGTACCAAGTATCAATTTTTTACACTTGCTAAAGTAAACGTCCATGAGAAATTTCATGAAATTCTAGTAATGTTGCTGAAATGTTCTGGATTTTTATGGCCGAGTCTGCGGACAAGTAGTGATTACAAACAGGCAAGTCAGAACTAAACCAGGACTAAACCAGGACTACACCAGAACTAAAGCAGGACTAAACCAGGTCTAAACCAGGACTACACCAGAACTAAAGCAGGACTAACCAGGACTACACCAGACTACACCAGAACTAAACTCAGGACTAAACCAGGACTACACCAGAACTAAATCAGGACTAAACCAGGACTACACCAGAACTAAAGCAGGACTAAACCAGGACTACACCAGAACTAAAGCAGGACTAAACCAGGACTACACCAGAACTAAATCAGGACTAAACCAGGACTACACCAGAACTAAAGCAGGACTAAACCAGGACTAAACCAGGACTACACCAGAACTAAAGTCAGGACTAAACCAGGACTAAACCAGGACTACACCAGAACTAAAGCAGGACTAAACCAGGACTACACCAGAACTAAAGTCAGGACTAAACCAGGACTACACCAGAACTAAATCAGGACTAAACCAGGACTACACCAGAACTAAATCAGGACTAAACCAGGACTACACCAGAACTAAAGCAGGACTAAACCAGGACTACACCAGAACTAAAGTCAGGACTAAACCAGGACTACACCAGAACTAAATCAGGACTAAACCAGGACTACACCAGAACTAAATCAGGACTAAACCAGGACTACACCAGAACTAAAGCAGGACTAAACCAGGACTACACCAGAACTAAATCAGGACTAAACCAGGACTACACCAGAACTAAATCAGGACTAAACCAGGACTACACCAGAACTAAAGCAGGACTAAACCAGGACTAAACCAGGACTACACCAGAACTAAAGCAGGACTAAACCAGGTCTAAACCAGGACTACACCAGAACTAAAGCAGGACTAAACCAGGACTACACCAGAACTAAATCAGGACTAAACCAGGACTACACCAGAACTAAATCAGGACTAAACCAGGACTACACCAGAACTAAAGCAGGACTAAACCAGGACTAAACCAGGACTAATCTTGGATTTAAGAGAGAGAATCCCGACTCCATGGAGCAGGATGTCCGCAAAGCGCGATCGGTCGATAGTCCTGGTTTAGTCCTCCTCTTCAGTCCTGGTTCAGTCCTGGTTCAGTTCTGGTTCAGTCCGTGGTGTAGGCAGCGCAAAAGTTTGATATAATCTCAGGTTAACGGGCAGGTGCGGTCCTGTAGTGCGCAGGTGCAGGTCTCCAAAAATGGACGTGTGCAGGACTCTGCGCTGGAGGCTCCATTACGGAATAATTGAATCTTTAGTTTGTTCCATAAAGAAGGAGGAAAATAACAAAAGGATGACAGCAGCAATAAGTTTTAAGAAGGATGTAACTGTCCTGTGTGAGAAAAGTGTATAAAGTTTGTGGTGAGGGGTTTTACAGACTTAAAACAGATATAATAATAATAATTGTAAAATATAAAGTTGATTACTTTGCAGATTATTTTTAGAACGTAACCCCCGGGATAAACAAGGGAACACTGTACCAGAAGCACATTTCAGAACATTTGTACAAAAAAACTACAGGGTTAGATGTTTTTTACGCAGAAAAAGACCTCATGGAGACGGAGGGAGGGCATCTGACACACAGGGTAATTTGAGAACAGGTTTGTAAACCCCAGGATCAGCAGATGATTTTGAAATCCCGTTGAATTGTGAATTGTCTTCATTATGACTCTTGTGATTGTACATCGTGTGCTCATAAAAACATGTGGGGCCATAACTGCACCTTTAAAACTCTGCTGTCGTCACGTTCTCGGGTTAAAGACGGTTTAAAGACGAGCAGGAGTTTACGACACGGGCACGTTCACAGGAAGCACTGCACAGACGATGATTACAACAACAACTAATCAACCATGTGTGGGTTTTTTTTTCATTGCACATTGGTGTTTTCAGCTGAGCACATGTTACTACAACGTGAACATGTTACTACAACGTGAACATGTTACTACAACGTGAACATGTTACTACAACGTGAACATGTTACTACAACGTGAACATGTTACTACAACGTGAACATGTTACTACAACGTGAACATGTTACTACAACGTGAACATGTTACTACAACGTGAACATGTTACTACAACGTGAACATGTTACTACAACGTGAACATGTTACTACAACGTGAACATGTTACTACAACATGTACAACGTGAACATGTTACTACAACGTGAACATGTTACTACAACGTGAACATGTTACTACAACGTGAACATGTTACTACAACGTGAACATGTTACTACAACGTGAACATGTTACTACAACGTGAACATGTTACTACAACGTGAACATGTTACTACAACGTGAACATGTTACTACAACGTGAACATGTTACTACAACGTGAACATGTTATTACAACGTGAACATGTTACTACAACGTGAACATGTTACTACAACGTGAACATGTTACTACAACGTGAACATGTTACTACAACGTGAACATGTTACTACAACGTGTGAACACTGTGAACATGTTACTACAACGTGAACATGTTATTACAACGTGAACATGTTACTACAACGTGAACATGTACAACGTGAACTTACAACGTGAACATGTTACTACAACGTGAACATGTTACTACAACGTGAACATGTTACTACAACGTGAACATGTTACTACAACGTGAACATGTTATTACAACGTGAACATGTTATTACAGCAGGGACATGTTATTGTTTTTAGTGGCAGGATAAACTATGACCATTGACATGCTCTAGTCTAGCACCAGTGACCTGCAAATACAAGGACTGGATGGAATATTTAAAAAAGTGTCTCCACACGTCTGCAACACTCTGACTCACGAGGAAATGAAGCCCTGTGTCCAAACTTCCAATCTGTCCCTTTAACCTGGGGAGTCTTGAGAGATTAACACCCCTCACATTCTCCTCCGGGTCCCGTAGACCCGAAGACATTTTTTCTTTCCTTCCCGCTGTCTTGGGGCGGGTCAATCACGCCAGGCAAGAAAATACATTTTAGCATGAGGGTTAAAGACTTACATTTTTTTTAAAGTAAAATGTGAAATGTTTGGGGATCATTGTTGAATTATAATGAATTTTATACATACAAATACAAATTTGATAAATATTAATCTCATAGATGTTAAGAATGTTAAGTTTGATGAATAAATGAGCAGACGATGTTAGTGGCATGGAATGACAATTCAATTACAATTCGAATAAAATGTTTTTGCGCCATTAATATTTTGTTGAGAGAAGTAGAGAAAGTGCAGCCCAGACTGTATTATGATAAGATAGGGATAAATTAAACTATAGTATAATGTAAGTATAGAATTTACAGCCCCGCCCCTTCACCTTTACAGCCCCGCCCCCTCACCTTTACAGCCCCACCCACCTCACCTTTACAGCCCCACCCCCTCACCTTTACAGCCCCCTCACCTTTACAGCCCCGCCCCCTCACCTTTACAGCCCCAGCCCCCTCACCTTTACAGCCCCACCCCCTCACCTTTACAGCCCCTCACCTTTTACAGCCCCGCCCCCTCACCTTTACAGCCCCCTCACCTTTGCAGCCCCCTCACCTTTGCAGCCCCCTCACCTTTGCAGCCCCGCCCCCTCACCTTTACAGCCCCCTCACCTTTACAGCCCCCTCACCTTTACAGCCCCCTCACCTTTGCAGCCCCCTCACCTTTGCAGCCCCCTCACCTTTACAGCCCCGCCCCCTCACCTTTGCAGCCCTCGCAGGTGAGAGCGTTGTAGTGGTATCCTGAAGCTTTGTCTCCACACACCACACACAGCTCCTCCCCCTTCACGCGCCCCGCCTGCATGTGCCTGCTCCGTTTGCACACGAGGGGCACCGAGGGCACCTCCTCCATCTCCGCGTCGTACCCGACCTCCAGGGGGCCCCGCCTCAGCTCGTACACCCCCGTGCTGTGGGGGAACCAGTCGTCGCCGCCGTACTGGGGGCAGTAGTTGTGCCCGGGGTAGTACGGCGAGGGGGCGGAGGGCATGTGGGGGTCCATGGGCGGGTACTGCATCCCCGGGCAACTGCTGAAGGGCAACATGTCTGAGTCCTGCAGGAGAGGCCCGGTTTGGTCCACCAGGATATCTGAAGGAAGAAGAACAGCATGATATATAAGTCACCTGTAAAACTCACACTGTTCCACCCACATTTGTCTATAAATGCTCCAAAATCGCTGCTGAAATCTGACACAAAGTCAGTTTGTTTGTGTAAAATGTTCAATTTGTGCATCAACAAGTCACACTGCACAGACTCTCTGGAGGGTTTATGGTCCAGACTTAAATTATTTACTGTGAGTGTGGACACATGCACATCAATATCCCGGTTATTATCCATATCCCGGTTCTGTCAGTTTTCAGGATACTGTGTTTACATGAGGACACTCATATCCCTGTGACATGATCAAATGTCGTATCCCGGTTTCTTGACATCCATCCATTCATCCATTTTCATGGATTATGGATTATCTGGGGCCGGGTCGCGGGGGCAACAGTCTAAGCAGGGACTCCCAGACTTCCTTCACCCCAGACACGTCCTCCAGCTCCTCTGGGGGGACCCCGAGGTGTTCCCAGGCCAGTCCAGAGACATAGTCCCTCCAGTGTGTCCTGGGTCTTCCCCGCGGCCTCCTCCCGGTGGGACATGAACACCTCCCGAAGGAGACGCCCAGGAGGCATCAGAACAGATGCCTGAGCCACTTCAGCTGCTCCTCTCGACGTGGAGGAGCAGCAGCTCTACTCCGAGCTTCTCCCGTGTGACTGAGCTCCTCACTCTGTCTCTAAGGGAGCTCCCAGACACCCTGCGGAGGAAACTCATTTGTGCCACTTGTATCCGTGATCTTGTCCTTTTGGTCATTACCCAGAGCTCATGACCAGAGGTGAAGGGAGGAACGAAGACTGACAGTAAATCGAGAGCTTCGCCTCTCGGCTCAGCTCCGCTTCACCACAACGGTCCGATACAGCGACCGCATCACTGCAGACGCTGCACCGATCCACCTGTCAATCTCGATCACTTTATTTATGTTGGTCACTTTATTTATGTCGCTACTGTTGATGGAAAGTGTTTGTCTTTTGGACACATGTCCAAAACTTTATGTTGCGGTGACCGGGATACTGCGTTTACATGCCACAGTCTGCTGCTTACTATCGGAACATACCAACTACAGTATCCTGGGTTCTAATAACCGGGATACTGCCTTATTCAGGACACTGAAACTGGGATCATACTGCGTATACATGCACCATGAAGACACTGGAATATTCAAAAAACCTGATCCTAACCAGGGATACTGATGTGCATGTAAACACAGTCTGTGAGAATCGGCCCCATTTGAAATAAAACAAACTGAACTTCCGGAATAAGGAGAATATTATAGAAATATAAAAAAAAGAGCTGCTCAGATAAACCAAGGATTTCTTCTTTCTTTTTCTCTCTTAACTTTGAAACCCCCAAAATACAGAAGTATCTTATAGTATGAAGAGCATTAAGCAGTTCACAAAAAAAAAAAAGAAAGAAAGAAAGAAAGAAAGACAAAGGCAAGAAAAAGAAATCTGAATAGAGGAGTATGTATGTTTGTAAAAGTAAATATATTTATGAAGTATTGTGTGAAGTATTTGTATGCCAGATTTTTATGATTTATTATATAATTTTGACTTAATTTGATGTGATTAAAACTACTGTAAATATGAATTATAGTTTTACACAAATTTAGAAGCAATTTAAAAAGAAAAGTTGAAAAATATGTTGAAAATGACAGGAAGTAGAGCAGCAGAATTCCGTCCAAAAGTTCCGCACAGTTTACAAGAAAATCTATATATTTTTTGATACTTTAAAGATAATTTCAGTAAAATAAAGGTGTTTTCTTATTTTTGCATTTATTAGATAATCATTTCTGTGTGCATTAGAGGAGTTTTTTTAGGTAACAGTTGGAATTCCCGAGTGTGACGTCACGACCAGAAAGTAAAATTTTAAACCTAGAAAATGTCAAAACTGGGAAAACGAGTATGAATTTTTTTTAACCAAATTTTAAATATAGTGTTTTTAATTGTGTAAAAGTGTAAAAGTGTTGTCTGAGCTTTCATAGGCACTTTAAACTTTAAACACGACTGACAGTCCAATAAAGAATTCCCAGAAAAGTTGCACATCGTCCCGTCAAAGATAAGACCGTTCGATTTGCAGTAGTTTGTAATAACACGACTATAAAACTAGAAATCATTAACAGCGAGCAGAGTCGAGGAGTAACAGATTACATGTACTGGAGTTATGTAATCAGAGTACAAATTATGAGTAACTGTATTCAGTTACAGTTACTTTCTTGAAATAAATGAATTACACGGCGGTATTTTCCTGTTTTCACATTTCGGGTGATATCCCTTTCTTTTTTTTTTTTCTCAGTAATTCCACTCATTGTCGGAAACTAAACCAGGTCCAAACCAGGTTTAAACCAGGTCTAAACCAGGTCCAAACCAGGTTTAAACCAGGTCTAAACCAGGACTAAACCAGGACTAAACCAGGTCTAAACCAGGTAAACCAGGTCTAAACCAGGCTAAACCAAGACTAAACCAGGACTAAACCAGGTAAACCAGGACTAAACCAGGTCTAAACCAGTCCAAACCAGGTAAACCAGGTAAACCAGACTAAACCAGGACTAAACCAGGACTAAACCAGGTCCAAACCAGGTTTAAACCAGGTAAACCAGGTCTAAACCAGGACTAAACCAGGACCAAACCAGGTCTAAACCAGGTCCAAACCAGGTTTAAACCAGGTCAAACAGCTAAACCAGGACTAAACCAGGTCTAAACCAGGACTAAACCAGGTCTAAACCAGAAAAAACAGGTCTAAAAAAGTAAACCAAATCAAGTAATCCAAAGTATTCAGATTACGTTACTTACCTAAAGTAATTTAATGGATTACATTACAAACTACATTCTGAGGATTGTAATCTGTATTCTGTAGGGGATTACATTTTAAACGTCACCTTCCCAACACTGACAGTGAGTGAGTTCACATGCCCACGAGTGTCTCGGTTCTGACAATATTCTGGATCTGGATACTCATGTCTCTGTGTGCATGAGGAACCAGAGTTTAGACCTCCCTTAGGTTTTAGACCTTTAGTAGTCCTGGTTTAGACCTGCTTTAGACCTGGTTTAGTCTTAGTTTGGTCCTGGTTTAGATCAAATTAGTCAAAAATAGAGACACCTGGGACATTTCTTGTATAAAACTGGGATAAATCAGTGGTTTTGTATAAATCTGCTGGGACAGGGGACATGAGGCTCAAATGTTTCTCAAATGTTTCCCTTTTCAAAACATATAGACCTTTTACACCGTATATTTACATGTATAGCGTATGTAAGAGTTTTTAAATGTCTTAACGAGATCTTAGTGTGAATCATGACTGTCAGAATAAAGTCAGTCTTTATTTCTATTGTGCTTTTCATATGTCACAAAGACTCTTTACAGAGCATTTATAGATTCATTATTCTTTTTCTCCACACCTGGTGATGGTAAACTACTATCGTAGCCACAGCTGCCCTGGGGCAGATCCCTCCGACCACCATCACTCATGCACCACTTTCAAACTGGGCAATGTGGGTGAAGTGTCTTGCCTAAGGACACAACGATAGTTTTGTGACTGGCGCCTCCTGTGGCTCCTCGTTTTCCCAGTGTCTCCATCCAAGTCCAGACCAGGACCAGACCTGCTGAGCTTCTGAGATCTGACAGGATCAGGCTTTGACAAACCGCTGTGGCCACAAAAATGTTCTTGGGGACCTTTTTGTCTGTGTTCCCAGAAATAAACTCCAGACACTTAACACGACTCGCTTCTTCTGTCGACATGACAAATAATTTGGACTCACCATTGCAGCACGCACTTTCTCCGAGAGGACATGGTTACAAAAAGCGTGTTTAAAGTGAAAATAAAGATAAAGAAGAGCAGACGTGTACGGTGCAGACGCGTCATGGTTGTAGCAGCTTTAATTCGTTGTCTCGTGGGATTGAGGCAGAAATACGCTGCAATTTGTTAAAAAAAAAAGCCAAATCAATCTAAAAAACACTTCAGCGACAAATACAAGGCCACACATCACTCGTAGGAGGTAGAAAGATCTGAAAAGTTGATTTTGCATCAGATGGGCCCTTTAAAAGTTTTGACAAGATCTTAGTGTAAGATCGAAAAACAATAAAATGGGAAAACGGTTTGTTATTTAATTTTAACATTTTTGTCTCAAACAAGCAAAAAAATACATTTCAATCTCAATCCGTAAACGACCCGTTTATGTGACTTAAATGGACTGAACCAGGACTGAGACTGGGACCAGACCAGGACCAGGCTTTGACCAGACCAGAACTAAGACCAGGATTGAGACGGGGAATGAGCCCAGGACCAGACCGCGACCAGACCAGGACCAGACCAGAACTAAGACCAGGACTGAGACCGGGATCAGAACGGGACTGAGACCAGTTTAGTCCTGGTTCAGTCCTGGTTTCAGTCCTGGTTTAGTCCTGGTTCAGTCCTGGTTTAGTCCTGGTTCAGTCCGGCATCTCAGTTTAAATCATGGAAACGGGAAATGGTCGTTATCCGTTTTTTCCATTATTGATTTAAACACAAAAAACAAATCTTTATCTGTTTTTTTTCCATTTTGGTTTTAAAGACAAATAATGAAGAATATATATATATATATTTTTTTTCGTTTCCTTAGTTTTGGTTTTATTTTGAAAAACGAATGAACAAACGACACACGGATTAACCTCGATTTCCAATATTTCAGTTTATTTCAAATAACACCAGTCAAAAAACAGACTCGGTGCCTATTTTAATTCTGATATTTTATTCTCTCTGGTTTATTTTCTGCCAGAAGGCCTCACCTGAAAAATCGTAGCAGTTTCGTGGACAAACATGTCGTCCTTTTTTTTATAGCGACGCGTTTATTTTCATGTTTTAGTAGAAAGTCACTGTCGAACTCCACGACGAGAAACCGGAAGCAGCGATAAACTCTTGACACTGAATTCACACGTGGCGCAAAACAGCAGAACTTCCGGAACAAATAAACCGAAGAGAATCAAATATCGAAATGAAAATTAAACTTTGAATTAAATACTGGAAATCGAGGTCGAAATCTGTTTTTTTTTTTGTTTGACACTAAAATGGAAAAACGAAATTACAAACTGTTTTCACATTTTATGATTTTTCGTTGAGTGAAATTCAAACGAACGAACGGTTCACGAAACACGGACCGTCGTCGGACTTTCTTTCAGGTAAAACGCTCGACCCCGTCCCGCCGTTCTCACTGACCTCTCCGGGACTCCGTTTGTACCATAGCCATCGCGTCAGACTCCCCACTCTAGTCCGCGGTCCGTTTTCTCTCCGTGCAGCTCCGCGAGTCCGGCTCCATTTTCACGTTGTTTTTTATTCCATATTTGCCGAGGAGTCTTGGACAAACACGGAGACTGTGCGGCGGCCGGAGAAACGTTCTGCTTGGCTCAGCTCGGTCGTGAAATCTCAGAGCAAAGGTTAAACGGGCTAAATATTAACCGAACAATCTCTTTTGTGTTTTATTACAAGTAGTCGCCCCACGTCTGAAGAACAGGAAGTGTCCGCTACCGTCAGGACGGAGCTGCGGACTGATCCAGGTCCGGGACCAGACCGGGACCAGATCAAGACCGAGACCGAGACCAGACCAGGACGAGACCAGAACTGAGACGGGGGACTGAGACTAAGACCAGGACTGAGACCGGGACCAAACCACAACCAGACCAGAACTAGGTCTAGGACTGAGACGGGGACTGAGATCGGGACCAGACTGGGACCAGTTTAGTCCTGGTTTACTCTTGGTTTAGTCCTGGTTTACTCTTGGTTTAGTCCTGGTTTAGTCTTGGTTTCGTCCTGGTTTAGTCCTGGTTTAGTCTTGGTTTAGTCCTAGACCGGGACTGAGACCGGGACTGAGACCAGGACTGAGACTGGGACCAGACCGGGACCAGATCAAGACTGAGACGGAGGACTGAGACTAAGACCAGGACTGAGACCGGGACCAAACCACAACCAGACCAGAACTAGGTCTAGGACTGAGACGGGGACTGAGATCGGGACCAGACTGGGACCAGTTTAGTCCTGGTTTACTCTTGGTTTAGTCCTGGTTTACTCTTGGTTGAGTCCTGGTTTACTCTTGGTTTAGTCCTGGTTTAGTCTTGGTTTCGTCCTGGTTTCATCCTGGTTTAGTCCTGGTTTAGTCTTGGTTTAGTCCTGGACCGGGACTGAGACAGGGGACTGAGACCAGGACCAAGACCGGGACTGAGACCAGAACCAGACTGAAACTGAGACCAGGACTGAGACCGGAACCAAACCGCGAACAGACCAGAACTAAGACTAGGACTGAGACGGGGATTGAGACTGGGACCAGACTGTGACTGAGACCAGTTTAGTCCTGGTTTGCTCTTGGTTTCGTCCTGGTTTCGTCCTGGTTTAGTCTTGGTTTAGTCTTGGTTTAGTCCTGGACTGGGACTGAGACCGGGACTGAGACCGGGACTGAGACCAGGACTGAGACTGGGACCAGACCGGGACCAGACCAGAGGATCAGAGCCCGCGGTAGGGCCGAAGCTCGAAGCTGAGGCTCGGACAAATGACATTTTGGTTCCACACGAGTAAACACAGACATTCTCACGTGTGACCAAGATCACACTAATGTTCATGGGCCTGTACACATACACACGTTGTATTGTGGATATAATGATCATGTGATGTGGGCTGGGCTCCTCATAAACTGCTTCTGTGCTGATGAACTGAACCCACCGACGCTTCATGGGGACCAGGTTGCTGTTTCTGATTGTGCTTGTTAAAGTTTTATGTTCAGACAAAATCTGCAGCCGAATAAAAACACTAAGGCGACGTTCAGACTGCAGGGTTTAACGCTCAATTTAGATTTTTTTTGTGAAATCTGATGTTTTTTCGAGGTCGTTCACATTTCCAGTTAAATGTGACTTGTATGTGACTCCAGTGTGAACATTAAACGGTCCAAAAGTGTCCCACATGTGACACTGGAGACACGACGACGTCAACCGCAGCGAGCGTCTCTGTGTTTACACAAGTTGTCCAAACATGGACGCAGCATCGAGCACCTGGAGATTTTAAAGTTCCTCTCGTACCGGAGCCAGAACATGAACAACTTACTTGTTTTAAGGAGGAGATTGAGAAGGAGAAGGACCAGGTTTTTGGTCGTGGTGTTTTGTGGGACAGAACGTTGAAAGGAACGTGTGGATGTGGAGACGGAGCCAAGAGTGGTGAGTGGTGGAGTTCATTAACAATTTTTGCCAACTTCAGTGCAGAATAGTGACGTTTGTGTCTTGTTGATAACGTGTAGGTGGATGAATGCACTTTGGCTGTTCACACTGAAGTCACATGTCAAAAGATCAGATATGTATCAGTTTCAGGAGCACATATCCAAGTGTCCTGGGTCACATTTTGAAAAAAAACGGATCTGTGTGGTTCAGACTGTCATTAAAAGATCAGATACAGGAACATAGAGACAAAAAAAGTCGGATTTGGATCACTTCAGGCTGCAGTCTGAACGTAGCCGTAGTCGTCCCTAGTTCCATTTTCCTGCTGTTCTGTTTTGATGATATTAAAATTGCCCCATAGTCCAGTTCATTAATCACTAATCACTAATGACTTTTCCAGCGCTACAATAAATACGTCAAAGTGCAGGACGTTGACACCAGGTTGAACTCTGGAAGTACGGGACGTTTTACAGATGACGTCAGGGATTCTTTGTCCGTTTTATGCTGAGTCACGCTTTGCTCAGATTTCATAAAAACGTCCGATTCACGACGTCACGACAGGAAAATCTAGAATCAGTTTAAACACGCAGGAAAACACAAAGCACAGAAAACGCAGAAAACTGTTCTGCAAAATCAGTCAAAATCAGTCTGTTGATCCGTTTCATTTGTTCGTTCGTTTTTCAAAAAATAAAATAAATAAATAATAAAATAAAATAAAAAACAACAGTTTTTTCACTATTTGTCTCCAAAACCAAAATGAAAAAAAATAAAAATAAATAAACAGATAATGATTCATTTTTTCAGTTTTTCGACTATGTGTGTGTGTGTATATATATGTGTGTGTGTTGTGTGTGTTATGTTGTGTGTGTGTGTGTGTTTGTATATGTATGTGTGTGTTGTGTGTGTGTGTGTGTGTGTTGTATATATGTTTGTGTGTGTGTGTGTGTATATATGTTTGTGTGTTTGTATGCGTTTGTGTATGTGTGTGTGTGTGTTTGTGTGTCGTACCAAACAGGTGTGCGCTCTCAGACAGGCAGAAGTCATCGTTGGGCGGGAGCTGTAGTGGCCCCACATTGATGTCGGGGCCCCACTCGTTCATCCAGGAGCCTCTGAGGGGCCTTCAGTGAGGAGGGGGGGGGGTCCTCAGAGAACGAGGGAGGGAAGGGGGATTCTATTACACTGGAAAACAAAAATTAAAACAAATATTAGATGGAATAATGGAAAACTTACATGTCAAACAGGGGTGGAGTCAGCAAGTCTGGGGGCCCTAGGTGAAGTTCAGTTTGGGGGCCCCACTATAATGCACCGTATGTGTTTTTTAAATATATTTATTGTCTATTTTTCCCCATTGTTCTTGAGATATGCACATCTCCATTTATTTGAATTATGGTGGATTGGAAACTTGTCTTATTAGTTCAGTCGCCAACTAGAAAACCAGTGTTAACGGCCCCAGGCCTTAGTTCTAATATTTCTGCAGAGTTCTCTTGATTCCTGCTGCACGAGCCCTGGTGCATGATTGGTGGGGCAAGTCCACGCCCACCTCACCTGCAGCCACGCCCCCTATTTAAGGAGATCGCCAGCACCTGTTCGGGGCTGCTGGCCTTGGTGGCCAGAATGTCATTTTGGTTTCGTGTGTGTAGTTTAGTCTAGTCTGTTTTGTGCCTTTTTTGATTTGGTCACTTGATTCTGTTTGTGGGTTTATGTGGTTTGATTTGGGGAACTTGTGTTTTGGTTTAGTGTGTGTCCCTAAGTTTTACCACTCGTTTTTGTGTAAGCCTGCGTGACCCCTTTTCTGGCACAAAACTCTGTTTATTCTGTTGTTCTGTTTCTTAGTTTAGGTTATTTTCTGTATATTTTTAGTCTTTTGTTAATTTACATTTTACCTTCCTGTTAATTAAACATTATTTTATTTACTCCATTTTACATCCTGGTTTTATTTTTGTTACTTCCCTTTCTCCCCTAACAAAGGGGACGTAACAACCAGAACTGAAAGTAGTTTTATGTTTTTGCTAGAACAATTACATTTTTGTTTACATCCATTACAAAAATTATTATTTTTCTTATGATTATTATTTAAAAGTAAACTACTCTCATTTAGGCCCTGTCCACTCTAGTTTGTATTCAGGATGTTTTGGTTGTGGGTGCAGTGTTCGTTCACACTAATCAGATTGAAAACGGCCCCAGAGACGGAACGATCTGGTGCCTCCAGCTCCCACAAATTCATGTTTGTACAGATCCCATCCGGCACCGTGTGGACGCCTGAAAACACTGATCCTCTGATGTAGGTCTGTGCACCGCCAAGTCATTCACCGCCAAAACACTAAGAGGTGAGAATATGTGTCCATTCATATAAACGTGTGTCTGTGTGTATGACCTGCAGACGTATAATCTCTGAAAAGTTTAACATGAACCATCTCCAACACGACAAAGATGTTCATTTTGTCTTCTTATATACTTTAACTTTCTTTTTAAAGACAATACAGTAAAGTGTATTTACCTTGTTGACATGTTTTGGCTGCTGCTGCATCTTCGGTACTGTCACCGGTGTTGGTGATGACATGTCGTATATCAGCTGTTGTTATTTCCTGTAGGTGTGGTCAGTCTGATGGACCTGGCGTTTCGCTCAGACTGACCACGCCTCCCGTCGCCCGGTGTCTCTGGAGGAGGGTGTCCCAGGTGTGTGAAAGGAGGAACGCTCCATCATCTTGATTAATCCTGTCCGAGTGTCCGTGCCTCATTTCCTGATTTCACTGTCCTCCCTGATCCAGCGTTTGAACTTGTTGTTTTCCGATCCAACGGCCTGAGCTCCGTCCCGATCCAGAATGTGGTTATTTCTTATACAGTGTCTGAGATGGCAGATTTTAGCCCACAGGAAGCCCACAGGAAGTAACAACAGCTGATATACGACACATCAACACCAACACCAGGGACAGTTCTGAAGATGCAGCCGCTGAAACATGTCAACAAGTACACTTTACTGTATTGTCTTTAAAAAGAACCCAAGAAGTTAAAGTTCATCTCCAACACGATAGAAACACAGAACAGACTCACCATCAGCAGAACATCCCTCTGTCACAGAAAGAACACTCATATTCCACTGAGTCGTGTCCTTTAGTCCGACAGAAGCTGAACCGCATCAGCGACACAAGGAAAGAACTGTTTTTATCATTGCTCAGTTTATGTAAATGAGTCATGTGGTTTTAAGTTTAATTTCTGTATAAAGTAAACAAATATGCTCAAAGTTGTGTGGATAGGGAAGGATTGCGGACACAGAAACGACGTGTCTGGATGCAGATCGTTTCCGATACGGTGATACGCGGATTCGTTTCAGTGTGAACGGGGTCGAAGAGAAGAACACTGAGGGAAATTGGTTGGGGGCCCCTCCAGGTTTAAATGTCAGTATATATGTTTTTTTTTTAATTAAAACTGGTAAAATATCCCAAAATATCAGTCAAATTATTCAAACTCACAGATTGTTTATATAAATGGACATAGTGAACCTGCTAGTCACTTCGTTCCCAGCAGGAAGTGAGCGCTCCCGGCTCCAATTCATTTTGTTTTGAAAAAGTGTTGCCTCTTTCTCTCTCTGCAAATGTTCGTATAAACCCGCTCTACGTGATCCTGGTGTTTTTATTTCACTGTTTCATCCATAAATAAATTCCTATGATGTTGTCCTGCTCTCAGATGGGGGCACAAGCCAGATTTCCCGATCGATTACACTGCACTTTACGGTGAATTATCCAAAATGTGACCTCAGAAATGTTGAACCTGATATTTTCAATTAGTGACTAAACCCTCGAACTACGGAAGCAGAGAGGGTCACAACGAACGCAAACGCCGCAACAGATACAAATGCGACAACACAACAAAAAGCCACAACAAACCAAAAAAAAAAGCCACAACGGAAATGACCGTGGGACTCTATTTTAATGCAAACGCCGCAACAAATACAAACGCCACAACACAAAGGCAAATGCCGCAACACATTAAAAAGCCACAACACTTTAAAAAGCCGCAACACATTAAAAAGCCACAACGGAAGTGACCACGGGACTCTATTTTCCGACGGAGCGATCGAGCGGCAAGTGAAGAAGAAGAACTACAATGTGAAAAGTAAAGGAACGGAGAAGTTGGAAATGTAAGTAAAAGTAATTTATTGTTTTATCATTATTCGTTTCACGTTGTAGTTCTTCTTCTTCACTTGCCGCTTGATCGGTCCGTCGGAAAATAGAGTCCCGCGGTCACTTCTGTTGTGGCTTTTTGTTGTGTTGTCGCATTTGGGTCCAGTCAAGTGGTAACGGAGGGAAACAGGGGCAGATTTTTAACATTCAAATGTCTCTTATTCAGAAACTAGAGGAACTATTGAAATAAGTAAAGTATCAGAATGTAGGAAAGAGTTACACTCCAACAGGGTCAAGTTAAACCTGTGAGATTCTTTCAAGTTGTTGACAAAAATTTTTAAAACTCATGTCGGTAACGGAGGGAATGAAATATGCAGCACTTTTTGGGCAATAAATCCAAACAGTGATAACTCTTGGTTCTCACTTCCATATCCTTAACAAACTGGTTTGAATATTTGCTTCATATAGTTTTCTACCATATGGTACAAGATTAGGTTGAAAAGCCTCTTACTTTTTGTTTGATTTTTTATTAAGAAAGGTCATGGTAACGGAGGGAAAAGTAAAAAAAATTGTGCAAACAAGTAAAATCTTTGCAGAACATGTTCAAAATCTGAAAGAGCCAATATGAGCTCAGAGGTGCGGTCACGTTTATCAAAAAGAAAATCAGAACAAACATTATGAAATTGTGTAAATCTGTTAAAGAGGTGGAGCTGTGGAACAACTGTACAGAAAACCTCAAACTGTGCACCAGTTTCTTTCACTTTATAAAGAAGTTTAAATGTTTAACTCTGGACAGAAACATGAAATATGAGACTTAGTTTGTGCTGTAGAACTTTGTTGTTCTGTTTCTGATTTGTTTGTTTCCTCTCGCTGTTTTTATGAAGATGAACTGATGTCAAGACGAAGCTCTGACAAAGGAATAAAGGGGAAAGACAGAATAAACTCAAGCTTCAGTCTGCACCTTTTCAGTCTGTGTGTGTTAAATATGACTGTTTATGAATTAATGTCAAAATGTACCTGTGACCCAAATAAATAAATAAACAAGTAGAAGGTGCAGGATTTTACATCATTTGTCACTTTTTTCTTCTGAAAACTTTAATATTACTTCAAATTGAAAGGAAACTATTTCTATAAAATATGTCAGTCCTTTAACTTCTTAGGTTCTTTTTAAAGACAATGCAGTAAAGTGTATTACCTTGTTGAACAACAGCTGATATACGACACGTCACCACCAACACCGGTGACAGTTCTGAAGATGCAGCAGCCGAAACATATCAACAAGGTAAATACACTTTACTGTATTGTCTTTAAAAAGAACCTAAGAAGTTAAAGTATATAAGAAGACATAATGAACATCATTGGCTTAATATGTCAGTCCTTCCAAGCAAATTTTTATCATTTTAAATATTTTTTTTTTGAAAAATCATGAACCTTCATCAACAGTTCAAAGATGGAATAACACAAGATATGATGAAATACATCCATTTATTTACATGATTTTTGGGTCTTTGAAATTTGGGAAATAATTTTTGTTCCATGTTTCATTCATGGTCTGTTTAAAACGGATGGAACTTTAGAACCAAAAATGGTCCAGAAAAAAGGTCAACAGTTTCATAAACTAGAGAACATATGTATCTGTTCAATACATTTTTATATCAGATGAATTAACTTGATTTTTGGCCTTGTTGTTTACTTCTGCTTGACCGGGCCCGGTGTCTGTCTCCAGTGCGACGTGTGGTTTAACTTTCTGTTTCCATGGACTCAAGCAGGTGATGAACGTTACACAGTGTAGCTTTAAAATAACAGCTCTGACATCAGCATTATTGAAAGTGAAAGTGTTTAACAGAATTACAGCTCCAGCAATGACCGAGGTGACAGTGACACGCACACACACCGGGACACGAGACACGGGGCTGGGACACACTTCTGCAAACACCATGGAGATTTAACCGATTTTAATCAGAGTCAGAGCAGAGAGTCAGTGCTCGTGTTTCAAACAGGCAGCGCTCTTTACGTTTCATTCTGAATTATTATTTAAGGTTATTTAAGACATTTTAACCTCTGTTCCGTTACATTTGTTCAGACGTGTAACTATAATTGCACAATAACTCTGCTCTGAAGTCAGACAGTCTGCAGTCAACTTGTTTCACAATAATCCTCGATTCCACCATTTGGCAATTTTTCTAATTCTTGATTATTAAAAACCTGAATGAATTAATGAATTACTGGGACATAAACCGTGATACAACTATTGAAAAAGTGTTAAGAGAGCTTGAGTTGAATTGATTCTAATTCTCTGTTGAGGTATTGGTCAATAACACCTGATACATGTTCAAAAAGAAGTGCCTCATCTTTAAAAAAGTAGAATTTTATAGATGTATCAAGAATTTCAGACTTCCGGTCATCACGCATTTCACACTGGGAAGGATTTTCTGAAAAAGTGAGCATCAAACCTCCATGTTTGTTTTCCCAGTGGGATGTGTCTATTGTCAAAGTCGATCTTTTCAAGTCTTTTGAACCATATCACTTTTGTTTCTGGTTCTGATATTGTCATATTTTAGTTTTGGTATTTGGACATTGTAATTGTTTGGTTGTTGGATCCTAACAATTACTCAAGAAATTTGTTTGCGAACTCCATAAATGCAAAAGTGAATCAGATGTGTGTGACTGCAAACGTTCAAACTGTTTCTCTTCCCAACGGAATTGAAAAATAGTGAAGGTGAAGGCGATGGGCAGGATTGATCCACAGGAAGAACCAAAAAGGAAACATTTGTCTGACTAAATCATCCTGAGTTTACAGAGAACATTTTGTATGTGGAGCGACAACAAAACAAAATCCCGATCCTTCGCTCAACCTCGGTTATGAATTTAAAAAGTCAACGCCAAAGTGAAAGGCTCCAACTGTTCACCAAGAAACACCTTCCACTGCAAAGAGACCAAGACGTGATGTTGCTGTAAAACCACAAGAACAAGAAAGTGCAGCTCAGTCTGTTTGTCTTCTGCTCCTCTCCATTAACAATTTTTGGATTTTGTTTTGTCGTCGCTCCACATACAAAATGTTCTCTGCAAACTCAGGATGATTTCTTAGGCAGACAAATGTTTCCTTTTTGGTTCTTCCTGTGGATCAATCCTGCCCATCACCTTCACCTTTCACTATTTTTCAATTCCGTTGGGAAGAGAAACAGTTTGAACAGAGGTTTGAGTCACACACATCTGATTCACTTTTGCATTTATGGAGTTCACGCAGACAAATTTCTTGAGTCGTTTTCCGCTGTTAGGATCCAACAACCACACAATTACGACGTCCGAATCCCAAAACTAAAATATGACAACATCAGAACCAGAAACAAAAACGATATGAAGACTTGAAAAGATCGACTTTGACAATAGATGACCGGAAGTTTGAAAATCTTGATGCATCTATTGTCATTAAAGTGTCATGACCGTAACAACCTCCATGCCAGTCCCAAATATTTATTCAAAGCGAAATTCCTCTCATGACTCTTCTGTTACAGGAATCGGGCGACACAGAAGCCACCATAAAACCAAGAAACAACGAGTGTGCGAGTGTAAAACGTGGTGTGTGTTACTTTTATTCACCGTTTTAACAACACAACTGTTTTCCTGTTCTGATTTGTCGTACATTTCAGATTAATCACATGTACTTAACAGTGTTGGGAGCAACGAGTTATAAAAGTAACAAATTACTGTGTTGCTTTTTGCTGTAATGCAGTAATGTGGCGTTACAGGGGAAAAAATTGTAATATTTTACTCGGTACAAATGTGAGTAACACGCGTTAAAATGCTTTTTTAACCCAGATTGAAGTGGTGCGTTTTTCTTCATAGAAATTCGCTAAAATCACCGCGATATCAGCAGCGGTGAAAGGTACACCGTCAGTTAACCGCGGGCGAAAGGACCAACGGAGAAGTCTACGCTGTTTAGACCTGGTTTAGACCTGGGTCAGTTCTGGTTTAGACCTGGTTTAGATCTGGGTCAGTTCTGGTTTAGACCTGGGTCAGTTCTGGTTTAGACCTGGTTTAGATTTGGGTCAGTTCTGGTTTAGACCTGGTTTAGACCTGGGTCAGTTCTGGTTTAGACCTGGGTCAGTTCTGGTTTAGACCTGGGTCAGTTCTGGTTTAGACCTGGTTTAGATCTGGGTCAGTTCTGGTTTAGACCTGGTTTAGACCTGGGTCAGTTCTGGTTTAGACCTGGGTCAGTTCTGGTTTAGACCTGGTTTAGACCTGGGTCAGTTCTGGTTTAGACCTGGTTTAGACCTGGGTCAGTTCTGGTTTAGACCTGGTTTACAGTCGTCTCTCGCTCTATCGCACTTTCACCTTTCACAGTCTCGCTGTTTTGCAGATTTTTTTTGTCCAGTTTTGTTTTTTGCTATTTCGGGTACCGCAAATAGTTGCTGAAATCAGGACCGTGAGCCCGAGCAGCGGGTCCGTAAACCACGATCGGGCAGCGCCGCTCTTAGCTCTTACCGGAGCAGAGCCGCTCCTTTCTCCTGCGTCACCTTCGAGCCCGTCCCGACAGCGAGTCCTGTTTTAGTCCTAGTTCAGTTCTGGTTTAGTCCTGTTTTAGTTCAGTCCTGGTTTAGTTCTCCTCTTCAGTCCTGGAATCAGTCAGAGGTTAGTCCTGTTATAGTCCTGGTTTAGACCTGGTTCTGTCCATATACGGCGCAAAAGTTCAGCATCTTCGCAGTTATTTTGGTGAGAGTAACTTAAAGTAATGCAATAGTAATGTAACGCCTCACATTTTAAACGCAGTAATATTGTAATGTCACGAATTCACTTTGAAATGACAGTAATAAGTCATAAATAAATAACGCATTACAGTTTTAAAGTCACTTGCCCAACAGTGGTGCTTAATGTGAACATACATACGACTCCGCACGTGACCCTCTCATGGCCCATCGCCGCCGCCTCGCACTTTTAATTACCTATAGAGTAATTTCCCCTGAGATCCAACCCACAACCTCTGCACACCTCCACAGCCACACGACGTACACGATTTACAAAATGTGAGGTCCAGTTACGATCATTTAACAGCCCTTACCTTTAGCCTTCGGTTTAAATCACAGTCCGGGTTTCGTTGAAAATATTCTTAATTGTTTTATCTCCGTGGCGACAGCAGCCCGAGCGCGTATCCGGTCTGTGTGTGTGTGTGTGTGTGTTTGGACTCAGTGGGAACATGTGTGAGCGGCCGGGGGTCAGGGAGAGACGCTCGGTGGTTATTAATTAAGCCCGACCATCACATACAGTCCCCTAAAAAAAAAACCTCTTATCTCAAATGTACGAATTCAGGAGACGAAATCCCTCCCACGGCCGAGACACGCGGCGTTACGAGACCGGCCTCCTCCATCCAACGGAATTTACTACTGATAATGTTTATGATTTTATTATTCGGGCTGATAATCGTCTTATCAGTTGTTTTAAATGTGCTACTATTTTTCTGATCCGTGTTCTAGTGTCGTTTCCTCGACGGAAACAAACCTGGAGTTGTGTTTGTTTGTTTCATTCACGCACGTTTAACTCACAAACTTTAGGCTCTTTAGTTCTTCTCACACTCGCTGTTCCACCTTGTGATGTCATGTGGTGATACAGGAAGTGCTCCACTGTGTTTTTAAACTCCACACACCTTCACTAGAATCATTTTGGATGATTTCAGACCTGGGATTGCCAAACTCTACTGAACTAAAGGTTAAAAAAAAAAGTTGATGTTAACTTGAAAACTGCTTCTTCGTGACATCACAAGGTGGAACACAACATTTTGAGCTTTGGAGATGTAAACAGCACTGTTGGGCAAGTTACTTTAAAACTGAAATGCATTATTTATTTATGACTTATTACTGTCATTTCAAAGTAATTTGTTACATTACAATATTACTGTATTTAAAATGTAAAACATTACACAACTATTACATTACTTTAAGTTACTCTCACCAAAATAACTGCAAAGATGCTGAACTTCTGCGCCAGATATGGACTGAACCAGGTCTAAACTAGGACTAAACCAGGTCTAAAGCAGAAGTGACCCAGGTCTAAACCAGGTCTAAACAGCGTGGAGTTCTGCGTCGGTTCTTTCGCTCGCGGTCACCTGACGGTCTACACGGGCGCGTCTTCGGTGTTTCATCGCTGCTGATATCGCGGTGATTTTAGCAAATTTGTATGAAGAGAAACAAAAAACCCACCACTTCAATCCAGGTTTAAAAAAAGCATTGTTACGTGCGTTGCTCACATTTGTATCGGGTAAAATATTTATTTTTTTCACCCTGTAAAGCCACATTAATGGCAAATGAGCAAAAACAGCAAAAAGCAACAGATTACAGTAATTCGTTACTTTTATAACACGTTGCTCCCAACACTGGTAAACAGACTAATAAAACTGTCCTCAAACTAAAATAAAGAGTTACTCAAACATGTGTGAATGAAACAAAACACAACTCCAGGTCTGTTTTTGAAGAGGAAACTCATTGGGGTGTAACAATGTTGGCGACATCACGATCGTTTCATATTAAACTGAGCGTCTTTAAGCAAAAATAAGAAAAATTGGCCTCTGCACCCGTTGTGGAAGCACCGGCGGCTTTAAGTCTGAGGTTTTAAAGCATTTTGTGTTTGTCGTGACACGAAACGAGAAAGAAGAAAAGGTGAGAAGTCATGAGATAAACCCACACGCCGAAAATGTTCAAGAATGTTCAAGAAAATCAAGTCGGGACAGAAAACTCTACGTGAATCATTTACAACAGCTCAAGAAATAACCAAATGCATCGCAGAATATAAAGCCAGTGATTTGATCCATTTTCCACGGTGACGGTGTCGGGTTTAAAAGGTTCGTGGCAAAACTGGTGCTGAAATATAAAGTACCATTGCATTTAAGTTTGTTTGTTTTTTATCTCCCATAAGGACAACTCAAATATACACTGAGTAATAATGTTTTTAACACAGCTTTGAGCACATTTGTTTACATTTTACAGAAATGAAACCTAAAGTCACATGACTCATTTGCATAAACCTGAAAATAAAAACAGCTCGCTCCTTGTGCTGATGCGGTTCAGCTTCTGTTGGACTAAAGGCTCCTGACGACAGTTTTATTACAATTGTTTAATTGTTACTTGAATTTTGCACTTCAACTTCACAGTCTTTTCAGTCTGTTCAAAATGTCACTGATATGAAAATGACAATAAATGTTTCACCAAATGATGCTCAAAACATTTTATAATCTCAGTCTTTTCATTATGTAGAATATTGTAATATTGTGAGTTTTCCCACGATATCATAATAAATATCGCACCGTGAGGTTCATAATGTGACGATATTGCATCATGAGACTTGGATATCGTGACACCCCTAATTTTTGTTTATTTCTCTTAAAATATGTCTCTTCTGCTTGTTAGTTGTTATGATTTGCCTGAAATGTTCCATAGTATGGCATTAAAAACACAGATAAAGTGTTTTTATTGTTCAAAAACACAGATAAAGTGTTTTTATTGTTCAAAAACACAGATAGATTGTGTTTATTGTTAAAAAACACCCAAAGTGTTTCTATTGTTCAAAAATACCGATAAAGTGTTTTTATTGTTCAAAAACATTGTTCAAAAAAACAGACAAAGTGTTTTTATTGATCAAAAACATTGTTCAAAAACACAGATAAAGTGTTTTTATTGTTCAAAAACATTGTTCAAAAACACAGATAAAGTGTTTTTATTGTTCAAAAACACCGATGGAGTGTGTTTATTGTTAAAAAAAACAGACAAAGTGTTTTTATTGTTCAAAAACATCTTCCTTAAACATGTTTTGGGCTGTGAATCAAATGAAACACAACTCCAGGTCTGTTTTTGAGGAGGGAACAACATTATAATATGACTTAAACCTCACAAGAGACACTTTTGTGTAATATTAAACTAAAAAAACAAAAACTAAAACCTTACGAGTCAGTGGTCATGTTAAAATAAATGCAGTTGTTAGTTTTTTTTGTCAGAGATTTGCGTAAACAGTCGGTGGCAATGACAGCATCGTCCTTGAACGTACCAAGGCTGTTTCGTCATCCCTCTGTGATCCAAAAAACTCCCATTTTAACTTCAATGGACACGAATCTTTAAAGCTGCAGTGTGTAACTTTTCTGTTGGAGGGTCTGTCAAACACTTTTCTCCAAGCCTTTCTTTTCTTTTCTTTTTACTTTTTAACTTTTTAAACTTTTTTTTACTTTGTCTGGAATGTCCCACAGTACAATATTAAACCTTTCTATCTCCGTTTAGACTGAACCAGACCAAGTTCCAGCCATTTTGGAGCAATAAAACCACCTGTAATTGAATAAAAAAGTAAAGTAGAGCTGATTAATGTCACACTGTGGAACATTCCAGATGGAGCAATGACGTATCCGTACAGATCACGGCAAATTTCTCTGATCTGGTCAAGATTTTAAAACTTATATCAGGTTCTTCGTCTTGTATAATCTTAAAATTTGTCACGTATATTCAGTGTTGGGGAGTAACAGATTACATGTACCGGAGTTACGTAATCAGAGTACAAATTATGAGTAACTATATTCAGTTACAGTTACTGTTTCAGTGAGTGGTAATTGGATTACAGTTACTTTGTTGAAATAAATGGATTACACAGAGGGATTTTCCTGTTTTCACATTATTTGTATTTTTATTTTATTTTTTATTTTATTTTTTCAGTAATTCCACTCATTGCTGGAAACTAAACCAGGTCTAAACCAGGACAAAATCAGGACTAAAACCAGGTCTAAACCAGGTCTAAACTAGATCTAAACCAGGATTAAAACCAGGTCTAAACTAGATCTAAACCAGGTCTAAACCAGGACAAAAACCAGGTCTAAACTAGATCTAAACCAGGTCTAAATCAGGACTAAAACCAGGTCTAAACTAGATCTAAACCAGGTCTAAACCAGGACTAAACAAAAAACCAGGTCTAAACTAGATCTAAACCAGGTCTAAATCAGGACTAAAACCAGGTCTAAACTAGATCTAAACCAGGTCTAAACCAGGACAAAAACCAGGTCTAAACTAGATCTAAACCAGGTCTAAACCAGGACTAAAAACCAGGTCTAAACTAGATCTAAACCAGGTCTAAACCAGGACTAAAACCAGGTCTAAACTAGATCTAAACCAGGTCTAAACCAGGACTAAAACCAGGTCTAAACTAGATCTAAACCAGGTCTAAACCAGGATTAAAACCAGGTCTAAACTAGATCTCAACTAGATCTAAATCAGGACTAAACCAGGACTAAAACCAGGTCTAAACCAGGACTAAAAGAGGATTTACCAGGACTAAACCATACTGCGCGGACGTGTCTCCTCCTTTTCTATCAATAATATTTTTAATACAGTTAAGTTTCCTCGTCTTTGCTTCTCTACAGCAAATCAAGTAATCCAAAGTATTCAGATTACATTACTCACTTTAAGTAATTTAATGGATTCCATTACAAACTACATTTTGGGGTGTGTAATCTGTAATCTGTAATCTGTAGGGGATTACATTTCAAAAGTCACCTTCCCAACACTGCGTATATTTCTTCCATGACCGAACTAGTCAGAAAATCTTAAATTTAGACAATAAATATTTAAAAGAAGAAGCTACAATCCGTTTACCAGAGTTCTCCCTGCAACACTTCACTTACTTTTAGATTTAGTGACACAGATTTGCTTAAAACTCAAATTTGTTTATCTAAAAAGCATCCATAAACTTATTTCCAGCCCACGAACACTCAGAAACTGCTTCATTCTCGTCTAGAGGTCGTTTATTTTAAGAGAACTTGTCCAGATCATTTCAACACTTTTAAGTCATTTTCTGATACATTTAAGTGTTTATATTTTACATTTTGGCCAAGCTTTTTTGTGTGGAATCAACAAAGTGACGAATCCCCGACCCACAAACGTTCATCTGTAGAATTAAATTGCGATTTGCCTCAAAAAAAACGGTGCCAAAAACAATTCTTTAATCATTAATGAGTTGTTGCTCCATCTGCAGAGGCCTCCTGAGTCAACACCGTCGCTCTGGAATAAACAGGACCTTTGCCATTGGCTGTGATCTGTTTGTGGACTGTGCGACGTCGAGCTGCAGACTCCCACTCACCCGCTCACCCACTCGCTCACCCACTCGCTCACCCGCTCACCCACGCCCACGTACATGTCAACGTAAACGGGCAGACGTGAGATTTAAAGAACATACATTGCGCT